GTGTTGCAGTTAAAATTTTGATGGGTAGTTTGAAAATCCTGGTATGTAATATATATGCCCCAAATGGCCCAAAGACTGAATTCATCCAATTCTTATCTATAAAATTGAGAGAAACAGAATTTGATGAGCTCTTGGTGATAGGAGACTTTAATGGAGTGATGGATAAGAAGAAAGATAAGAATAGGTCAAAAAGAAATGGACATGGAGGAGGACTGCTACCGCAAAAAAATTTTGAACTTCAAAAAGAATTTGATCTAGAAGATACTTGGAGAGTGAGAAATGAAAAGAAACAGGATTATACCTTCTACTCTTACCGACACCAAACGTGGTCAAGAATAGATATGGCGTGGATTACAAAAAACTTAGCCACTAAGGTAGTAGAAATGGAAATACTACCGAGAGACATTTCAGATCACTGTCCATTGGAAATAAAAATAAATTATAAGAATTATCAAAGAAAATGGAGATTAAATGAAAACTTGATTAAGAGAGAGGAAGATAAAACACATTACAATAAAATTATTAAAGACTATTTAGAAATTAATGACATTGGAGAGACAAAGACACAAGTAACATGGGATGCGCTGAAGGCTGTGTTAAGAGGTTGCCTCATTCAACATGGAGCCAGGAAAAATAAAGAAAGAAATAAACAAATGAATGAAGTGATGAATAAAATTGTGCAAAAAGAGACAGAGTTAAAAAAGAAACCAGACAGTAAAAAATTGAATAGAGAACTCGCGAGACTCAAACAGGAGAAGTCCCGTTTGGAGATAGAAAGACAAGCAAGAGAGCTAAAATTCTTGAAACAGCAAACATTTGAAAATGCGAATAGATCTGGGAAATGGTTGGCGAGACAAGTCCGGAAGAAGAAGCAGGCCACACAGATAACGAAAATAATTGAGGGAGACAGAATACTTACGACGGATAAGGAAATTATGGAAGAATTTAAGAAATACTATAGCAAATTATATACCAGTGATGGAATAAAGAAAGAGGAAATTACTGAATATATAAGTCAATTGAAACTACAAAAAATCTCAGAGGAGATACGGGAAAAGCTGAATAAAGAGATTACGGAAGAAGAGATAGACAAAGCAGTGAACAAAATGGATGCAGATAAGGCCCCAGGCCCGGATGGATTCACAGCAGGATTTTATAAATCAATGAAGAGAACTCTATTACCAATATTGAAAAGGATCCTGAATGAGGCACTATTGCACCAGATAATTCCAGATTCTTGGAACCAAGCTGAAATAGTAATGATACATAAAGAAGGTTCAACACCAGAGGATATTAAAAATTATAGACCTATTTCCCTACTGAATGTAGATTACAAAATATTCACGAATATTTTGGCAACAAGACTAAAAGAATTTCTGAACGATTGGATAGGGTTCCTCCCAGGAAGATATATGAAAGACAATATACGTACAGTCTTGGACTTGATAGAATATTTTGAAGTGAACCATCAGAAGGAAGCTGCCATATTATCAGTTGATGCGGAAAAAGCATTTGATAATCTAAATTGGGACTTCTTCAAGATTTTGATTCAAGAATTGGACATGGGGATAAAATTTACAAATGCAATTAATGCCATTTATGAAGTACAAAGAGCAAGAATTCGGATAAACGGCCAACAATCGGAAGAATTTATAATTACGAAAGGAACGAGACAAGGATGTCCGCTATCCCCTTTGATTTTTATTATGGCATTAGAACCGTTGATGAGGAAAATAAGAGAAGATACAAATATTAAGGGAGTAAGAGTAGGTAAATACGAATATAAGATCAAAGCTTTCGCGGATGATTTGTTAGGAATTGTGGAAGACCCAACAAACAATCTTCAGAATTGGATAAAGAAAATGCATGAGTTTGGAAAAGTGGCAGGCTTCAAAGTGAATAAAGGAAAAACAAAAATTTTAACTAAGAATGTAAAGAGGGAAAATCAGGAGAAGATAACTTTGGATACAGGAATGGAAATTGTTAAAAAAATAAAGTATTTGGGAATCTGGATAACCGCAAAAAATGGCCAATTGCTGAAGAATAATTATGAAATGGCTTGGAGTAAGATACAGAAAGACCTTAAAAATTGGAAATCATTGAAATTATCCTTATTAGGAAGAATAGCATTAATAAAAATGAATATATTGCCAAAATTATTGTTTCTATTCCAAAATATACCCGTAATTAGAAGTCAAATAATTTTTAAAAGTTGGAATAAAGAACTATTGAAATTTGTGTGGAATGGAAAAAGACCTAGAATTAAATACTTAAATTTAATTGATAAAAAAACAAGAGGTGGACTGGGATTCCCAGACCTAAAAACCTATCATGACGCATGTGCTCTCCTATGGATTAGAGATTGGATGTTGTTAGAAAATGAAAAAGGTCTGAATTTAGAAGGTCATGACCTACGAGTAGGATGGCATGCCTACACGTGGTATGACAGAGAGAAAAAAGAAAAAAAATTTGGAAATCACTTCGTAAGAGCATCTTTGCTAAGAGTATGGATGAAATATAAGAATTATTTTTATAATAATACGCCATTGTGGGTCTCCCCAATGGAGGCACACCAAAGAAGACTATTAGGTTGGAGAGTGTGGCCAACTTATAAAGATATTTTAATAGAGAAGACAGCTGAAATTAAGACCTATCAGCAACTAAAAGAAAAAAACAAGAATCTGACATGGCTGCATTATTTACAAATGAAAGAATATATTAAGCAGGATAATAAGATAGGCTTTACCTGGGAAGAATCATTATGGGATAAAATTTTGAAGTCAAAGAAAAAAGTAATCTCATTAATCTATAACACATTGTTAACCTGGCTAACGGAACGTGAACAAGTCAAACCATGTATGATAAAATGGGCAGAAAATATAAGAAGACCCATACAATTTAGAGAGTGGGAACAGATGTGGAACAAAAAGCTGAAATATGTTTATGCAACAGATTTAAAGGAGAACTGGATAAAAATGTTCCACAGATGGTATACCACTCCAAAGAAGTTATCTTTAATAAATAAAAATACTTCCGATAAATGTTGGAAAGGATGCCAACAGATAGGTACTTTTTATCATATGTGGTGGACATGTAAAGAAGTAGTGAAGTACTGGTCAATGATACATGAAGAATCACAAAAAATTTTGAAAAAAGTATTTAAGAAGAAACCGGAATATTATCTATTAGGTTTTACAGATATGGAATTACAATTACAGGAAAACGAGGACAGACTTTTTACTTATATTACAACGGCAGCAAGAATTATGTTAGCAAAAATTTGGAAACAGGACAGTATCCCTACCAAGGAGGAATGGTTAGGGAAAATCAGAGAAATAAGAGAGATGGATGAATTAACTTTTTTTCTTAAAAAAAATACCGGAAACCCGATAAAGAGGACAGACTGGACCTTTTATGATAGTTACGAGAAAAGATAGCAAATAAGAGAATTATTTTAAAATAAAGGGAACACTTTTTTTTGGAGACAATACACCTGATGTGGAGATGGAAGTCAAACTTTTTATATATATATATATATATATATATATATATATATATATATATATATATATATATATATTTTCTTTAATATAGTGTGTGTTTTTCTTTTGTGTGATTTTTTTTCTTTTCTTTTTTTTTATACTTTTTTCCTACTGTCCTATCTTCTTCTGAATGTTCACCCTCTTTCGTTGTACTTAAGATATAATCTAATAAAAATTATTCAAAAAAAACTAATATACTTTATTATGATGTGTATCAAATATAGCAAGCCTAGAATGCAGGGAAAAATTATTGCCTCAGTACTTAGCATTCAAACAGCAATTTATTTTAATCAAGAAGTTTACAGTAAATAAGTTAAATGCTTGTTACATAGAGCATCTTTAAATGTTCATCACACGTAAGCATAGTCTATAGTTATAACTGTTACTCTACAACAGGCCTAAGGAATTTCCTGGCCACAGTTCTGGTTCTGCCTCCAAAATCATTTTGTCTGCATTGCTCTCTAAAAAGGTTGCTTATATTTTTATCTTATAGGGTTGTTATTAGCCTATCTTCTTATCAAAGTACACATGGGAATGAAAGCCAAGAGTGCCATGTTTAAAGCAGCTTCACTTGGTTAGTGGAGAAGTTATGACTGGAAACTTTTTGATTTGTCAGTCAGTCTGAAAACAAATATCAAGATGCTTTTCAATGTGATTGTAGCATCTTATCCATGTATAACAAATTTTGTTTGTTTATTATTCATCCCTGTACAACAATTTCTCTTTGCTTGTTTGTTTGCTGTTGCTAGCTAGCTTGTTTGGGCATGCATGTATGCACTTATACCCACACACTCCAGCTGAATTTGTTGCATATGCCATACTTCCAGTGCTGACTAACTACTAGATATGGAGTTCTACTTCAGAAAGTCTGGTGAAATTTTGAATAAGTGAGACAATACCTCTGGGTGGAGTAGTGGCCATTGCAGTGCATAAAATGGTGTGTTGGAATGTGACTCTTTCCAAACCCCAGTGAGACCTGCAAGCCAACAGGCAGGCTGTTTTTGCCATTCACAGAGGCAAGGAAGACCATGAGGTTCCAGGCTTTGGCCTGGATGAACACAAAACCTGTTTTTTCTTTGCAGTCTGCCCCTTGGCATTTCCAGGTGATCCTAGCTGAATGAAGAAGGGCAAAAGGATGCTACATATTTGTGCTATCTACACACAGGGTCAAGATGTCTTCTAGCCCAGTGATTCCCAAACTGTGGTCCTCCAGGTGATTTGAACTTGGATTCCTAGAAGCCTCAACTACCTTGGCCATGATGAGGGACTCTAGGCACTGAAGTCCAAAACACAAGGAAGAGCAGAGTGTGATGAATACTGTTCCAGTCTGTGTTTTTGCCTGTGAAGTCTGAAAAAAATTAAAAAACAAATTACTCCAGAGTTTTAAAAGAAGAATGAAACTATTGCTCTTATGCTAGTACTGCTGTGGACTCACGGTTATTTCTTCTAACTTGCCAGGGACCTTCCAGGAGTGGCTTCAACGGAAGAGACTAGTATTCCTTTGCTTCTGATCGATACAGCTGGCTGCGGATTATTTGAGCTTGATGTGGAAGATGAACAGTCAAAGGGCAACCAAGGTATTATTGTTTATCTGTTCTCTTTTTTTCTCCTGTTGAAATCTATTTTTCCCTTGGCCTTCACATTTCAAGTTATATCATTCATGCATATAGTAGTATAATTCAGCTATTGCTACATAAAATGGTAACCTTTTGCCAGAAAAGTACAAAGGATGCTGTCATATATGGTGCCAAACAAATGGTTCATCTAGCTTGGTTCGTTGTTGAAACTAACTGGCAGTGGCTCTTTCAGGTTTCAGGTAGGAATCCTTCCCAGCCCTACCTGATGATGCCATGGATTGAATTTGGGACCTTCTGCAGACAAAGCTTTTGTTTTTTACTTAAGCTAGAAACCCTCCCTATATTGCAGAAACAATCTTGGAGAGATACAGGTTGAGCATCCCTTATCTGGAATTCTGAAATCCAAAATACTCCATAATCTAAAATAGTCTACCTGGGTGGCTGAGATAGAGACCCTTTTGCTTTCTGATGGTCCACAATATTTGTTTCATGGCAAAAATATATATATTTAAAATATTATCTAAAACTATCTTCAGGCTATGTATATAAAAAGTAAAAAGCAAAATTGAGTTTACTTGGGTTTCAAGATACCCCATCATATACATACATGCATCAGGTATTCAAAAAGCAAAAAATAAAATAAAAATAAAAAGATTTGAAATTAAAAACATTTGTGATCCCAAGCTTTTTGGTTAAAGAATACAGTAATGTTATTCTTGAGAGTTCTGGCATTACATCTGATAAGCATTAAAACAATTAAGTTTTATGAGGACAGTTCATTTTAAATTATAGCCAAAAATTCTGTGGTAACCTGTTACCTTTATAAGCCACATAAGGCTGTTTACATGCAGTTGCTTGAAAGAACCAATGAAAGAAGACTCTGCTGACCATTAGAGACACTTTTTATCAACATCGTAAAAAAGTTTATTATCTCCCTTAATTTATTACTACTGACAGATGTGAGAGACACTGATATTACCTAGACAGAGTGTTATGCACAGGCCAGAGATGGATAGAACTGTAATTTTTTATATCTAGGACTACAATATCCTGAAATCTCTTAGTGAATCTCTGACAAAGTGAAGAACAAATATTATGTGTGAAATAACAGCTTACCACAACCCCCCCCCCCCCCCGAAAAATGAGAGATACTCATTCAGGACCGGTTTAGCTGGCTATTTAGAATTTTGGGACACTGGACAAACTTGTCCTATGAGCACATTATCATGGAGTTGGATAGTACTAGAAGACCTATATAGTGCAGCTCCCTGCCATGCAGGAGTACTTAGGCTGGATCCAGTAAAAGACCTCCTGGCAACTAGAGGCTTTTGAATCAAGGGAGCTTTTCCAGTGGCTGATTGAAGAGAAGGAACTATTCACCTATTTTATATTCCTCATGGAATCTTCTTGGGGGTTGGAAGGCACAGAGGAAAAGTAGGATGGGATTGTGGATGCTGAAACAGCAGAAGAATATGACCTTGCAGGAGCATCCTATGTAGAATTCTGCTCACAGAGTGCTCCAGTGGAAAAGACTCCAACCCATATTGCCTTTCTCTTAAATTCCTTTGTTGTGCTTCTGATGAAATATTGCTGCAACCTCTACTATTTCAAAGAATTAAAATCATGTGTATTATCTTGGGTGCCTCAAATTGACACTTGTATATGTTACAGTCCAATCGAATGTGTTTCTTCAGAAATAAAGCCCATATAATTCAGTTGATCTGTCTGAAAACCTATTCATGCAGCTACAGGATGTGTACCTAAAGGAGTCAAATGCTGTTGCACTTTGTACCTATCTTGTAAACTAACAAACAAAAAACAGTCTGTGATGGCTTAATCAACTCCCCATTGCACATAGATACAAATAACTTTCTTAGGAAAGCAGCTTAGAAGCTTCAGACTTGAAAGAAGTGGCTTTCATAATGCTGTGCAGTGCACGGTGATATAATGGTCAACTGGTTAATATAGCATGTCAACCTTCTAGAATCAATAGATTCTTCTGTGAGGATTGGTTTTGTGTGAAAGTCCCCAGCTTATAAATATTTTTGGTACTATATGTTTTTTTTTTTAAAAATACTTCACTATCAATATAGATATTCATGTCAGTTGTTCAGACATTGTAGTAAACCAGGGGAATAAATAAATGTGAGTAAATTTTAAGACTCTCCCCGGTGGCGCAGTGGGTTAAAGCACTGAGCTGCTGAGCTTGTTGATCGGAAGGTCACAGGTTCGATTCCGGGGAGCGGCGTGAGCTTCCGCTGTCAGCCCTAGCTTCTGCCAACCTAGCAGTTCGAAAACATGCAAATGTGAGTAGATCAATAGGTACCGCTCCGGCGGGAAGGTAACGGCGCTCCATGCAGTCATGCCGGCCACATGACCTTGGAGGTGTCTACGGACAACGCTGGCTCTTCGGCTTAGAAATGGAGATGAGCACCACACCCCAGAGTCAGACATGACTGGACTTAATGTCAGGGGACTACCTTTACCTTTACCTCTTAGGAACATGGATGGTAGATCATTGGTGTTAGAAGTCCCCATTTGGAATAGACACAATGGGCGTACTAATTGGTATTCATACAAACTACAAGTGGAGAAGCTGTTGCCCTCCAGATGTTGTTGGGTTCCAGTTTTCATTAACCCAATCCAAAATGACTAATAGTTGGGGTGATGAAAGTTATAATCCAATAATGCTGAATGGTCTTCATTCCAGAACCCAATAACTAAAATATGCTGAGATCCAAACAACCATTCTGAATTGAAATGAGTAGGAGAAATTCCTGATAGCTAGCTGGAAGATCATCTAGTCTGATTTTGTAGCTTCAGGCAAGGTTTTGCAGACTTTCCTGAAGACTGAGTGAGCTCCAGGGAAAAGCAGCATGTCAAACCCAGAAACTGAGTTTAAATAGCTCTCTTGAGTTGCAGCACAGACTCTGAAATGATGGACAAACCTGTGAGTCATCAACTTGAAATGCTGAACTCTCCTCATTCCCATATGGCTAGGAGAGCTTTTGCTTTTAATTGCCTTGGCACATTGCACTTTGTCAAATCTCTGCATGAACAAGGCACTCACTTCTGCAGTTAATGGGACAGCAAGAGTTTGACCATGCTGACAGTGCGTATGACAGGCCTTCATGCAGAACGAAAGGCCAGAACCACAAGCAACAAAAGTTTCAGCATTTAAATCAGCCTAGCAACTCTTGTGAAACATAATGAACAATTAGGAAGATTTCCAGACTGGTTGACCTTTAATACTACTGTTCATCCAGGACTAATACACAGTACCTATAAGAATAAATAATGTAGTGGGGCAGGGATCTCAGTCTTTAAAACAAGTGTTCATTTTTTTCCTGTCTCCCTTTCATATTTAATGGAAGAACATTTGAGATTGTCCCTTTTCCTGTGTGAACTGCAGCTATGGGTAAATGTTTGAATTTTTGCACTTTTATTTATTTATTTTGTGTCAAAAGCATTGCATAAATAAGTATGAACTGATAAATAGAGGGAGCACAAGCAGCTGAATAATGTTAAACCAAAAATGGGCAACAGCAACCTCGTTGTCTGTGGCTTTAAACAATTCTTCCTCTGTGCATGAGGCAGGGCATTGTGGGATAGCATACAGATGTGGAATTGTTTGTTCTGCAGCACAGTTGCACAAGGTGGAGGATTCTTCTAGGTAGCACCGTTTTGCCATTTTGTCTTTTGATCTGCCCACTCCACTTCTGAGTCTGTTCAGGGACTTCCAAGTTGCCCATTCGTGGTTTGCCCCTGGAGGAAGACCCATGGGGGGGCATCCAGTTGGGATTTCCTGGTTTAGCTGCCCAGAGGGATACTCCTGCTGCTGCTGGGGGAACATTAAGAGAAGTGGTGGTTCCCATGAAGCCTTTCCTTGACTTGAGTCTACTGGGAGGAGGCTGACAGCCATGAAAGTGGATGGCTTTCACAATGTTCAACCTTATTTCTCTCACAACTAGCAGCAACTTCTTATCTCACATCAGGGGGAGCAATGCCAGCTAGCTTATATAGTCTATAAACAGGTGTAGGTTTGAGACATGCTGTGATTATTCTACATGTTTTGTTCAGTGCTCTATTCATCTGCTTTGCATGGATAAACTTGGTCCAAACAGGGCAGGCATACTCAGCAGTTGAGTAAGACAAGGCCAGGGCTGATGTTCTTAATAATTTTGGGTCTGTAGTCAGCAGACAGATCTACATGCAATCAAAACTCTCTGCCCTGGAGTGTGGTGGAGGCTCCTTCTTTGGAAGCTTTTAAACAGAGGCTGGATAGCCATCTGTCAGGGGTGATTTGAATGCAATATTCCTGCTTCTTGGCAGGGGGTTGGACTGGATGGCCCATGAGGTCTCTTCCAACTCTTTGATTCTATGATTCTATGAAAACATTTATACAGGTGTATTTTGTCATGCATAACAAGTGTAAATGGCAATATGAGAGGACCAAGAAAAAGTCTCACAACTATTAACTTTGTATTTAGTCATCACCACAAACCTTACACAACATGAGACTTTTGCCTCTCTTGAGTCCTCTGTAAATCTGTGCCTGCAGAGCAAGGAGATTTGTTCTTTTGTTAAAGCGCTGAGCTGCTGAGCTTGTTGAACGAAAGGTCACAAGTTCAAATCTGGGTAGCGGCGTGAGCTTCCGCTATCAGCCCCAGCTTCTGCCAACCTAACAGCTCGAAAACATGCAAATGGGAGTAGATCAATAGGTACAGCTCTGGCGGGAAGGTAACAGTGCTCCATGCAGGCATGCTGGCCACATGACCTTGGAGGTGTCTATGGACATCACTGGCTCTTTGGCTTAGAAATGGAGATGAGTACCACACCCCAGAGTCGGACATCACTGGACTTCATGTCAGCGGAAAACCTTTACCTAGAATGCCTTTAAAGACTGGTTTTCAAATTGAATTGTGAGTGTAAAGCTTCCTTTTCACCATTATTGAATGAGTAGAATTCTTTTCCTTTGGAACTTGTCAGCTTCTTCTCGGGTAAAACACCTTATTATTTGTTCACAGCTAACTTTGTTTCTCATTTTCCAGGTGAAGTGCGTCTTGTTGGTTTGCACATACAGGCTTTGGTAGATGCTGGTGTTAAGGCACGAGACATAGCTGTCATTACTCCTTATAACCTCCAGGTGGGTATTAGCTGCTATGCCCTCAGAAGCACAATGTTAAAGAATTGAGAATGTAAAGAAAAGGGCAAAACCATTTAGTTTAAATTTATGCTGCTAATATCTGAGCTCTGACTCTTCAGGCTCAGCAGTATAAGCAAAAAGACAGGTATCTGTGGGTTTCCCAGGGTTGTGGGATGCACTTCCTTTCAGCCCTAGGAAACAAGCACACTAAACCCTACATTAAACTACCAGCGGTTATTATATTATTCACTCAGTAGGCTATGTTTCAGATGAACAAACTGAAAAAACCACCTCTGTCTATTCCTTACATAAGAAAACTGTGAAATTTATTGGGGAGGGGTGCCATTACTGGAAAAGTGTCATGAAGGCATGTACATGTACACTGAAATGTCAATTGATTTGTTGATCTGAGTTGACATGTATTAGTATTCCTCTTGGGTCAGTTGTTGAATCTAGTCCACCAACCTACCCAAACCTTTCCCATCACAAACAAGGTCAGCTCTTTTCCTTCCAAATGTAGCTTATATCACAACAGATCACAAGGATGTCAAGAGAGAATGTAAGGCACCTGTGACCTCTTCTTACTCCTCTCTTAGTTGACCTTTAGATTCAATTGGTTTGATTTTTGAAGCAGAGATATTTCATATAGGATTATTTTTGCTGCTTTCATATTCTGGTTGCCTTTTTTATTTGTTAAAAATAATTTTACTTTTCAGGTGGACATGCTAAGAGAACTTCTCTGTCAGAATTATCCAGAGCTGGAAATTAAATCTGTAGATGGTTTCCAAGGAAGAGAGAAGGAGGCTGTTGTCCTTTCTTTTGTGAGATCCAATAGGAAAGGTAAACATGCTAGACCCAGGACGATGTAGGCAATTAAACTGCTAGTATTATGGGTTGCTTCAGTTGACTCTGCTTAGAAACAAGGCACCGTTCTCTTATGTAGATAGTCCCAGCATCACAGGAGCTTCTTTGATGTAGAACGAGGGTGAAAATTATGTGGCCCTTCAGATGCTTTTCAACTGCAGGTCCCAGCTTTCCTTAGCACTGACTCCTCTGGATAGAGCTACTGGGAGGTATAGTCCAACAACACATGGAAGCATTACAAAATTCCCACCTCGGAGTAATTACACCCTGCAGAGAAAAACATGGTGTTGTGGGTCAGGCAGGGCACACTTTTTTACTTGTGCATCAGAATCACCCAAGCAATTGGTGTTGCCCATGTGATCGTGCTTGCCTTGTGGCCTGGTTTTCACCACCTAGAAATTGCTTTCACGCTGATGGGGTCCATTAGAAAAGAACCATTGGCATCCTTTCCAGCTCAACTGCTTCCCAAAAAAGCTTTCCTAAGCTTGGATATAGTGAAAAGAATGCTAAAAAAAAGTCCAAAGAAAACATTTCCCACAAAATTAGAGAAGTAATGTCAGGCCATTACAGAACCTCTTGATCTTGTAGTATAGTGGTTCCTAAACTTTGGTCTTCCAGGTGTTTGGGACTTCAGCTCCCACAATTCCTAACACCTGGTAAGCTGGCTGGGGTTTCTGGAAGTAGAAGTCCAAAACACCTGGAGGACCAAAGATTGGGAACCACTGTTGTAGTATGTAGTATATAGCAACAAATGTTTTAAAAGTACTGTATTTTCTCGAGCATTGAATCTAGTGAACCCCTCAATGCACAGCCTAATTTTGGGAAAGTAATTTAGTTTAAAAAAAGGTGAGCATTACATTTGAGTGAATACGATAATTGAAATCCATTCTATTGTCTCTCCTAATGAATGCTGCATTTCTGTGTATTGTGGAAAATTTCAGAATCTTTTCCTGAGTATCTTGTCACAGCTGTATGTGACAAGAAGTTATCTTTTTTAATCCAAAGAGAATGGAAAAGGATGCTGAAACCCCTGGTAGCTAAGTGCATATGTGTTAGAAAGCAGAACAGTCTTCAGGATTTGAATTTGAGGAGAAGATTTGACTGAAAGGAAAGAGACAGTAGAATCTTGACTAGATTTTTTTCACACAAAAAGAGATAGAAATGGTTTTGTGGTATGTGTATGAACTGCACAGCTCTCCCCCTGTATTCCTAACATTCCTGAATATATTGTTACATACTTGGTGTGTATATGCATATGTGCATAGGTATACAGGTTATATCAATTTTATCCTGAAAAATAAGCCCAAGCTCTCCTTTATTCTAACCTGCCTCACTGGGCTGTAAGGATAAAATGAATAGGAAGATCATCAATACGATCTTGAGCTCCAGGAGATAAAGGTGGTTTTTTTCCAGGTACAATTTACTTCAACACAGTTTAGTGGTTAATGCATTTTAGCGTAACTTTGTGCTGAAATGTTTTATAACTTCAGATGGTGGGAACAAACCCTGCTGTCCTGATTTGCTTTTAAAGTCTGCTTTTCCACTTGTCTCCTGCTTCTCCGCAAGAGCAGAGAAATCAACCAGCATCCAAGTTAAGCAGCTGAGCTGACTCATCCTGGCATTTGCTATCTGTTATTATAGATTCTTAAGAAAGTAACTGGAGATCAGAAATAGCTTCTGGAAAAATCTCTTATGCACTTGCCATTTTATAACCATTTACTCATACACACATGTTAGTTAATTGCCTTCTTTTAAAAATAGCATATACTACCTATATTTCTACCTTCTCAACCTCTGAGGATGCTTGCCATAGATGCAGGCGAAACGTCAGGAGAAATGCCTCTAGAACATGGCTCTATAGCCCGAAAAAACCCACAAGAACCTAGTGATTCCAGCCATGAAAGCCTTCGACAATATATATTTCTAGTCTTTACGAAATTAAATTTCTGCCAATAACTAGATAGAAGAAGGATGTAATTACTTGAGATTTCCCTTACCAATTTTTCCTGGAACTATTCAGTATGAACTCATATCTCCCATCCAGTTCCATTTCAGTTGTGAACTTTCGTTGGGCTTAGTGAATGAGCTTAGACTACCCATAGGGATATCTCTGTTGTTCCACTTCTGACACTCCAGATCACAAGGATGAGAACTAAGAATGAGCATCTGCGGCTTACAAATTTATATCCAACTCCAGAAATCTGTTTTTTTTATTTTGCCTTTTAATGAGCTCTGTTTCCTTATTGAAACATAAAATGGAATTAAGCTTTCCCTCCTTCTGAAACTCGCTATGAAGCACATTGGAACAACTCCATAGTCACATAAAATATGTAGAGTTGTCAATCAGTTGTCTGATCACTCACATTTTGACAAAATAAAGCACATCCATGTATCATTGAAATTTATATGGGTTCTTTTTTTAGATATTTCAGAAAATGTGAGGAAACTTACACTGCAGAAATCAAATGCTTCCTTGTTAGTGTTTGGCAAGAAATTCCATATTTGATACTCTGTTTTCCTCTTATTTTTCCATACAGTAAAAATACAAAAATCAAATCAGCCCCAAAAAAATAGACCAATATGACTTCAAACTTCCATTCTATATTATGTGCTCTATGTTGATCAATCAACTATAACTGCAAACTTGTACACAGCTGTAGCTTCAAACCTATGAATACAGTGGCAGTACCATGTATACATTCTCAATCATCTACTTCTCTTGGCATTCTTGCAGATCCAGAGGGTCCACTGTATATTAATGTGTTGTGGTTGTTTGTACTTCTTTGATATCTGCTAGTAAGCCACTTTTGTCATCATTTCACACAGGTTGATATCTGAGGTCAATGTGATTGTTTTTATGACACACAGGTGAAGTGGGATTTCTTGCTGAAGACCGGAGAATAAATGTTGCAGTAACCCGTGCCCGGCGCCACGTAGCTGTGATCTGTGATTCTCGGACCACTGGAAACCACAGTTTTCTTAAAAGGCTGGTGGATTACATGAATGAACATGGGGAAGTACGCACAGCCTTTGAATATCTGGATGACATTGTGCCAGAAAACTATGCTCCCAAAAACTCTCAGAGTCTTAGTGGCCAAGGACAGAGGCATAAATGCAACAAAACAGTAGCCCCAAAAGCTGATGGGAAGAAACCACAAAGAAGACCTGCCAATCAACCTGAGCAGAACCCAACAGAGGGTTCGGTGTCAAACACAGCCAGGATCACAACTGCAGGTCCTGAAGTAAAGGAGCATTTGTGTAAACATAAAGCAAAGATACTGGAATTTCTGGACAGTACTGAGTCCCAGCTGGAGTTTCCTCCATCATTAAATGCTCACGACAGGCTGCTTATCCACCAATTGGCAGAGGAATATGGGTTACAACATTTAAGTTTGGGTGAAGGAAAAGAGAGATACATTAGCATTCATAAGAAAACTACTGCCACAAATCCCACTTTGCCTAAAACCACTGCTACACATGTATCTCTGAGAGATGTGAAGGTCTGCGAACAAGAGTTATCCTCTAAGACACCCAGCTCTCCAAGGGAAATTTCTGACCACAACAAGGAAAAAGTTAGCAGAATTGGCACTGGAGAAGTAGATCTGAAAACATTGCACATAGAAAGGATGCAAAGGGAGAAGGCCAGGAGAGAGGAAAGAGCAAAACAAAGTCACCAACGGAATGTAAACCTGCAAGAACCTGGGAAGAAACACAAAAGTGAAGCTGTAGGTATGAGATATGTCCTCTTTAGCAATTAGTATTAGTTTTGTATCATTTTTCATTCTTTCAGCTTCTCTCTCTCTCTCTCTCTCTCGTGCATTTTTGAAAAGTTAGAGCAATTATACTTTTCTATTGGTCTTTAAGTCTTGATTAGTTTGCTAGTTATCCCAACTTTCATAGAAGCACTCTGGGAAACATACCCCTTGAGCATCCTTTGAATAATTTATTTCAAAAGCTTTGTATGTATTTTAATGTTAATTATATATTCCTATTGTTGTTGTTGTTACTATTCAACTACAAGTCCGGGAACTGATATGAAAACATACAGTTGCTTCTGCAGTGTTGTTGTTGTTGCAGATGCTTTGGTTCCTGAAACACTTTTGAAAATTACCAAAAATCTAGCCCAAGTCAACTTCTTTTGAGTCAGAGCACCTTTCTTCATCTAGTTGTTTTCCTTGAAGATGTTAGATTAGCACATTTGGCTTTTGGACATACTACATACACCCACCCACCCACATACACACAGGCCCAGAGTATGGAAAGATGCAATATCTGCTATTATAAAAAAAACAGATTGACCCAAGGGTCAGTTTGACTTACTCTTTGGAGTGGAGATCTTGGTTATAATGTATTGTGAAAAACATGCAAAACTGGCAACTGGCCCAAAGGTAGGAGGTCATCTGAATCACTATATGAACAGCTGTGAAGCTTCCACATTGGCCGAAATGACTTGTTTGGGTGAAGACAATATATTAGTGAAGAAGCATTTGTCAGCACCAAAGTGTCTCCACAAAAGAGTCTCCAATGGATAACTGAAAAATATACATCCTCACATATGCATATATTTCTCTTGTTGGTAACTTTGAAAATGAACAGAAACTACCCTTTTTCCTCTCCCATGCCTTTGAGAGAATTTGCATACTCCCAGATATATAAAGCGCAAGGACAGGTAACCTGTAACTTAATAACAATATAATAGGTTGTGCTTCTAATTTAATTTTAGCTGTTAAGTTATAATTTGTTTTTATATGTTGGGTTGTTAATTTTTGTTATTATGGGTATATTGTTATTATGTTCAGGCATTGAATGTTTGCCTTTTATGTTTGGAATCTGCCCTGAGTCCCTCCGGGGAAATAGGGCGGAATATAAATAAATAAATAAATATAAACAACAATAAATAAATTATTGTTGTTGTTATTATTATTAGTGTTACCCTCTTCCCCCTCTTTATCCATTCATTGAGTTCACTGTGCATACAAAAAGTTCAAAAAAGGAGGCTTGTTTTGTGTGAATTGACCAGTATTTCCCAAACTCTGATCTTCCACTCCAAGAATCCTTGGTCACTGGCCAAGGTAACAGGCACTTCTGAAAGTCAAACACCTGGAGGACTGGAGTTTTAGGATCATTGGTATCTTGGAAGCCCTTTGTGGGAAGGACCTCCTTGGGAGACTATGTGGAACTACTGCCAGTTCTGGCTAGATGGCACTATGCATAAAGCGACATCCTGGATTGTGTTAATATATTTAAACCCCAGCCACCAGCATTCCTGCCAATCAAGTGCTCCCACACACTTCATCTTTGCAACTCTTTTTCATATCTTGTATTCCAGTCTTTGTTCAGTTTATCTCACACAGAGCTTCAGGGTAGAGTGATCTTGCCATGTCTGTTATTTTGAGTGATACTGCTTGCTGTTCATGACTTAAATAATCATCTATTCTCATGCATGCACACATGAGGTCAGACCCCTATCAGGCTCTGCATACATCTGACATTGCAATCAAACTCTTCCCATTTTGGGGACTTCTCAAACTACTTGGGAACTGTTTCATCCATAGCTCTTGTACACATAATAAAAGATTGCATTAGATTCTCTCCTCTGTTACTTTTTGACAAAATTATTTTTTTCTTTCTATTATAGGAAAGCCTGTCGTTAAAACCGGAACAGAAAGTGCAGCTGAGGAAGATTTTGATGCTATGATTTCTGCTGCAGTGAAAGCTGACAATACATGTGGTTTCTCCAAGTGCAAAGCAAGTGTAGCAACTCTGGGACAGCTGTGTCTGCATTGCAATAAACGCTATTGTCTCAGCCATCACATCCCAGAGGTATCTTTTGTCCTATCTTAGTTCAGACATACCAAACATCACCTCTGTCTCCCAAGTCTCTTGACCACAGGGCTTTAAGGCTCAACTTCCTTTCATATGTCTTATGCTGAATCATTTAACAGAATTGATTTTGCAAAGAAACTTATGATCCTAGTAGGAAGAGTCATTCACAAGACCAGTTCAACATGCACAAATCCATCCATCTGACTCATGTTCAGTTTGATTTAAGAATGTATATAGCCCTGAAAATGTATATATACATTTAGAACATCATGGGATAACAGAGTAATTTAATAGTATGTGCACATATAAATTGCACCAGGGACTCAGTTGTTTGTCTCCAGTTTTATATTCTAATGATGCTAAAGTATGGGCGGCAGGGGTGATGGGGCTCATTCGGTAGTGGGATTTTTCTCATCATAGATGTTGGGAAACATATGAACCCTTTTCTATGTCCCCCCCCCCCCCCGATACTTCTTATGGGTTTACGATCATTTTTATGAGCTTCATTGTGCTTGATAAATCTCCCTTCACCTTTTCCCTACATTGTAATGGAAGAAATTTTATTTCTTGTCAAAAAAATGTATATCATTAATTCCTCCTTTCCTGGCTTTTAGCAAAAATATAAACCAGTGCCCTATCTCTGTTGTTCTCTTGCTTGGTTTTTGTGTGTGTGTGTTTGTGTTACTTTGAAAATGAATAGGATTGAGAGACTTTGTGTCCTTGACAGGAAATAACAGTCTTGGCCATTAAAAGGTACTTAACATTGTAGAGCAAGGGATCTGTGTTTAATAATGTGTCACTGCTGAATTAATGTAATTCTGCAGCGTCCTTTCCCTCCCACCAAGTCTCTGAGTCATTTCCTCTTCACCTCAGATCACTTCTTTCTTTCACTTTACTGCCTGCTCAAAGGCTTGTAGAACGCTTTTCCATATATATGTTCATATATGGAAATTTGATGCCACTGGCATGGACAGGGCTTTTGCTTTATGTGAAAGCACAAGTAGAACATCTCATATTCATTATTAAAGTTCCTCAAATGGCAAGAAACTTTATGATTTCCAGAAACTAAGGGGCTTGGCTTAATGAGAGGAGATTGCACTGAGCTAGACAGTCAATTAGTATAAAGCAGTTTCAAATTGCACTATGTACATCATGTGCTCCTTTCAAGCATATGGGCCATGCTGTCATCTTCATTGTTTCCTCCACTCTGACATCATATTGACAGAGGTATATGGAGCTGTTTCAACTACATTATGCGCCAAGGTTGGATTTAATTACGGGAGGTTGTGCAGAACCTTTCGTACTAATAGTTGCCATCAGACTGATGTAGAGGATGCCATAAGCACAGCAGCTTCTACTGAGTTGTAAGTTTTTCAGGCTGTATGGCTATGTTCCAGAAGCATTCTCTCCTGGTGTTTCACCTGCATCTATGACAGGCATCCTCAGAGGTTGTGAGCTTCTAGTGAGTTCTCTGAGGAATCTACCAATTATACAATTATCTACTCATTATTGCAGTTCTAGCAAAGAAGTGGTGGGATGTTAGCTTTTCTCTGCACATGCCCAGGGGCAATCCTGAGACATAACATGGGAATGACTCACATTACCTGATTCACCCTGTCATGTCTCCCTGCTTGCTTTACCAACATGATGTGCAAAACACCTCCATGCAAATAATAGTAATACTGATCAGCAATAAGGAATATTTTTCAATGTCTTGTTATTTGTGTTGGTCAATCATATATGCTTTCAATCATTGGGTAAAGTATTGCAACTAGCCACTACAAATATTGTGATTTGTAGCATCCAATATGAAGGAGGGAGAGGGAATATGGATTTAGCAGCATTCTGTCTGCTGATCTTTTTAAATGATAAAACAAAAGTAAATATAGGAATATATGTTAATATTTTTGTGAGGTGTGCCACATGGTAAAATGAGTAAAGTAGTGGTGGCATTAAGTTTGTGCGGTGAAACGTGCATGAGTCAAGTTTGAAACAAGAAAACTCTGAATGTGTTGGCACATGAAGAAATCAAATGCAATCTGATTTGTCTGAATAACATATGGTGAAGACGTTTCCATAATTTTGGTAGTCAGAAATTTGAATTTAAAACTCTTTGTTCACAGAGGATTAAAGTGCCTGAAAGTTGCACAAAGGAGGACATGTGATATCAGTGAAACTAAAAGACAATTCACAGCTCTATCATACCCAAAGGGTGAGATCTAGGGTCATGATCATGTGGGTGAATATTGTGAACCAAACTAAACAGGAATAGAGGCACTGCTTTTCCTCTCCATGGTTGAAGAGGCTACAAAAGGTGTAAGGGCAAATGCCAAAATAGTTGTTCTCATTCACAGTACTGCAGACACATGCACATAAGAGAATCTGGTTGTGTTGACAGATCACTGCTGAACCTTAAATGGATCTGATGTGGAAAAGAACATTTTGTCCATTTGCAATATGCAATCAAAAGCATTTCTCCCAAGGCTAACCATTTTATATCTAGTCATTTAAAATAATTGTCATAGATCCCTCTGGTGAAGGGCAGATTGCTCAAGATATATTTGGATTTACATGGTTTGAGTCAATAAACTTATCCTTGGCACCTGTTGGACTACTTATTCTAGGATTTTAAATAGATCTGATTTGAGGGATATGGAATTAAGTAACTTCAGTTATTATCAGACTGTCATGGGATGATTCAAGTAAAGCTCAGTTTTAATCTCTCCTCTGTCAAAATGTAGACCAATTATGAAAACTGGTGAAATGTTGGAAATTTTAGATATTTATTTTTTGTGTCAGAAGCGAATTGAGAGTACAGTTGTAATGTATTTAAAAACGCAAACAAAGTTTAGATGGAAATCTGGAATTGGTCCTGTCTAGTCACTGGCAACTTCATTTTTTTACTGATCTGCAAATCACTCTCTATTTACTTTGTCTGAGAGTGTATAGTCCTTTTCCTTTTGGCTTTGGAGAAAATCTAAATATTAAACATGTTAAAATAAGTCTTCTGTCTCATAATATAAGCAATAACTGTAGTGCTGTCCCATCGTAATAAATCTTTCATACCTAAAACTCTGCCTGCATGCACATCATCACTTATCTCTAATGAAACAGACTCCCACAAAAACCATTTTCAGTCATTAGTTAAGCTTCCTTTTCTATTTTATTAAGGTTCTTCCTTTTTTCCCCAGATGTAATTTCTTTCAAATGTAATTATGAAAACATTGTACTCACACGAGTGTTAGTTTTTCCTCCACAAATCCCAAAAAGCAGAGATATTGCATCCCTCTTTACCTTCTGATTCTGATATATTATGAGTTCACTTTGACCCAGATAATATGGCAGACTCCTAGTGAGGCTGTTTTTCATTCTTTTGAAAATAATTTCCCCCAAGATTCTTTCAGAAACGTCCTGTCTATTATTATGCCATCTAGAATTAATCACATGGGCAGCATTTATATTGCTTCCTACATATTCATAGATGTGTTTCTTTATCATTTGCTTTCTGATCACTTTGCCTGTCACTAGTCAGCAAAGTGCAACCCATGCCATGTGGGAGGCCCAGGGCAGCCCATCTGCACCTTTTGGGGTCCCTGAATTCCTGTCCTATCCCCCAGCATTTGTATTTTGATCACTCTTCAAATAATGTTGGTTAGGCAACAACATTGATATTTGTCAGCTTGGGCAATGAAGGTGTTCAGAGGATGGAATGGAGGTTATTCTTTCATTTTTAGGGATTGTGAACCATCTGAGAGGATGATTCAGTTTCTCTTTAGGTTCTTGTGAGGGGTGGAAGTGAATGGCTTTCATACTTTTTTATGTCTTGTTTTTATCAACTCAGATGAATGTCCAGTTTGTATCAGTAGGCATCCTACCAGCACCAATTATTTGTTTTGTGGCAGGACATCTCAGGACTGACATATTGGGATTCTTTTTTACAGATTCATGGGTGTGGAGAGAAGGCCAAAGCACATGCCCGGCAGAGAATCAGCAAGGAAGGTGTTCTGTATCCGGGGAGCGGATTGAAAGACAGGTCCTTGGATCCTGCCAAGCGAGCTCACCTCCAGAGGCGCCTGGACAAAAAACTAAATGAATTGACTAGCCAGAGGAAAAGCAAAAAGAAAGAGAAATGAGGGGAGTTGCATGTTCCTAGCCACCTGGTCCCTCAGGCATCTTCTTTGAAGTTACATTGTCAGGTTCCAAAGGAAATAACCCTAAATCTCTTGATCTCTTTCACTGATTATTTTAGTGCTTAAAACCAGGCATCTGACCTTTCTAGTTTTCAAAGAACCAAAGCCAGAAAAAAACACATACAACACCACCAAAAGGCTCAGATTGCTATGTTTAAACCTTGCACCTGCAGTTGCACCTTGTTCTGTAAAATGTATTGGAACTAGTCATGTCAAATGTATAAAGCACTGTCAGTAAAGACAGAAGGTGGGCAGCTTTTGCTTGGAGCAATTTTCTTTATTGGCAAGGCAATGGATGTACAGTGAGTGGGTGTATGGCAGATAGTCTAACAAGACAAAGGTAGTTAAGTGTATTGAGCTGTACAGTTGACATGGTTTGGACATATAGTAATAATTGTCAGTGGAAGATTATACTATCCTTACAAAAGAGTGGGAGTAATGGAGAAGCCCTCCTTAAATCCAGAAATGAAGAATGCACAAGAAGCATTTCCCCTCTCAGACTTGGAAACTTGCATCTTGGAGGGAAAAGGTTTTGAGTATATATGTGTAAAATAAATACAAGTTTTTAAGGAGACAACTTTCTCTGCTCACAGCCATACCTTATAGACTAAAAATATGCATTTTTGCTAAAAACGCAAACTAAGAACTGGGATGATGATTGTAATATTAGTACAATTAAAATAAAGCACTAGAGCTGTGGGAATCAGAGAGATGAGAAAAGCAAGAAGTTGCAAGTACCCATTTGTTTTTTAAAAATATTTTTATTAAAATATAACATATATAAAAATAATAGTGAAGGGTAGAAGGTGTGTGTGGGGGGGGAGGGCAGGCATGTAGCGGGGGGGGGGGGGGGGCTTGAGGGGCTTCAGCCCCCCCCCCCCGAAATTCTCATGGTGGTTCGCGAAAGGCCTTACTGGTGCATTATTTAAACTGTTATGTTTATTCATATCATGATCTGATCACCCTACTCAATATATCCCATATGCATGGGGGTATTGGGGTAATGATACAAAAGGTTTGCTAGGGCTGACCCTCTTTCACTCAGACTCAGCCCCCCGAAACTCAGCCCCCCCGAAACCCCCCCTGAAAAAAATTCAGCCCCCCCCCTCCCCGAAACGAAATCCTGGCTACGGGCCTGGGGGAGGGTATAAACCAATATAAGAGTACCCAAGTACCCATTTACCCATTTGTAAAGCTACTATCAGTCAGTTATAGGGTCTAGTGAAGTGGCTGCAAAGAAGATAGTTCTGAGAGAAGACCTAGAATGGCAGTAGGCCCCAGCTGACTTGATGAAGTTGTCATTGCTGGCAATCTTCCTGTAAGTAAGTCTGGATAGAAATCTGGCTGGCCAATAGTATAAGCACAATAGCATTGTTTTGATTACAAGTAAGTGATTAGAAATCTTTAAATCCTAATGCCTGCTTAGATGTTATAAAGCGTCTTTCAAACAATTCATCCTTTATCAGAATTCTGCAGTGGAACTGTCCAGAACATAAATAGTTTGGTTTCAGACACTCAGGCTTAAAAAGTCTCATCCCCCTCACCTCTATACTCATAAAGATTCACCCTTTCTTAGAGTTCATCTTCTGACATAAGGTTGTTAGAAGGGGTTTCATGTAATAAACAGGTAAAGCGGGCGCATGAAGCAGATGATGCAGCCTTTCCTGAGGCATGGTTAACAGCTACACTGCTTGAAGGTATGAGATTTATATTCAGACACATCAAAAAACACCAAGCTGGAGGAGGCTGCAGTATGAAAATCACCTCAAGTGCTGGAACTGTGTATGTTTAATATGAAAGAGCACAAAATCATCTAACACATAATGGCTCAGAATAGTCTTTCTCAATGACTTTCTGCAATTTATATATTGCAGGATGAATCCTGATTGTCTTTGACAACCCTCCCCCAAACTATCAAATACTTTTAAACCAGTTCTGTGGGGACTTGGAATCAATTTTCCTTCGGTGTCGAAAGGCAACATGGGATCAGTTTTACCTGGGGTTTGCAGGGCCATTTTAGGTCCAAATGTGACTTTTCCTGAAGCAGGAAAGGAACCAGAAGTTGATAGGTTCTCTTTTAGAAAGCCATCTCACCTAAAGTTGCTTGTGGAGAATATAGCATGTGAGGATGCACTTTTAAAGAAATAGTTTACCAGTTGGGGCAATGAATTTGGCTCCTAATATCCCCTAGGAAGCAGTGCTGTTATCTCAAATTCACAACAGGTGCCTACTCCTATTTACAGGACAGAAGCAGGTGATAAGGGGCAGCATCCGTAATAGTTTGAGCTTTGGACTGTTTCTCTAGATGTCAGGGTTCGAGTCTGCTCAGCCATGAAAACACACTTGGGCAAGTCAAACTCACTCAGCCTCAAATGAAGGCAAGGCAAACCCCTGTGAACAAATCTTGCCAAGAAGATCATGGGATCGTGTCACCATAGACCAGAAACAACTTGAGTGTACACAGTAGCAAATCTGGTGCTGACAATCAGCTGGCAAAATAGGAAGATGTCACAAGCTATGAAGAGTGATTCACACACACACACACTGTAGACCCTCCTACCTATTCGGTGCTTCATCTGTGGGGCTGGTTTTTACCTGTCTTTGAAAGGGTTGAAACTTGGAGAGAAGGTTCTGTAATAGCCATCGGCAGAGGAATGGATTTGTCATCACTGTCATGAAAACTCAAAATGGAACTGCATTCAATATTTTGTTGGAGTAGGGCTTGGAATGCCCTATTGAAAAAAAATTCCTCTTTCTTCTGACAGAATTTTCCATTTCTGAACAAAAAAGTTGTCTTTATGCATGATCTTTATTGTTTCTTTTTCATATACGTTGAGACCCTTGATGGCAGACTTGCTTTCTGCACGTGCTGCATTTACAAGCAGTCACCACTCTGCCCCCCTTTCCATCAGATTTGCTGATATCACAAATAGCTTTGGTAATCAATAGTCACAATCTCATCCCATTGATCACAATGCTACTGATCCTTCATTTAGTTGCGTTTTTATTTAATTTTCTCAAAGACGTAACAGAAACAATCCTGTTGTATTTTTGAGTAATAATTTGGTTCTATTTCATGAGTTTTGACATATTGAAACAGTGGTTTCATTCAGTTATTTCCATCCATTTATTTCCTGTACTAGAGGCAGCTGTGGATTATGTGTCATGGTAAAAAAAAACCCTTTATAAGACTTCATGAAATGCTTGAACTCCAAGTTCTGACTTTCTGTGCTGTTAAAGCTCAGTGAGAAATCTGATCCTTCTAATGCAACATTCTGAAATATCTCCAACATGAAAGAGCACGCCTTACTAGCAAACTTCATTTTCCAAAATACAGGGAATCAGAATTATGACAGCAAGCATATTCAGGGAGGACCACAGTCCCCTCAGCACTCTGCAATTGATGAAATGTGCATAAGCCTAAATAAATATATATACTTATAATGGATAGGCTGACAGCCAAGCAGTTGAAGTTACCCTTGGGCTTCTTGCCCAGAAATCCATTGATCTTAGTTCTGTCAACAAATTTCCCAACAAATACAGAAAGAAATGAGCACAGGGAAAGTCACCAACTGACATGATGAGGCTAAATATTTCAAATCACAACAACCTGAAGCAGTATCCAAATCTCATCCATTTTGTTTATGCATCTGCATCCTCATTTGCTTCCATAAATATGTATTTTTAACATTGCTTCTCTAGTGCAGGCGAAACATCAGGAGAAATGCCTCTAGAACATGGCTCTATAGCCCGAAAAAACCCACAAGAACCTAATATCTAGTTTATTACTTAGCCCATGTTGGATATAGATAACAGGGTTTAGCCTTGGTTTCACAGAGTATGGGACAAATCTCTTCTCCTGAATAACTAATCTTTATCCAGGACAATCCAATCAGGGTAAAGCATGGGTGTTTGTAACCAGACAAGACTCTTGCAATTATTCTAGCCAAAAATTGCTGTATTTTAAGCCATTCCATTTCAGACTGGTCTGCCTGATTATCTTTTCTTTTTTTTTGGAAGTATATCCTGTTTTTATGCCCTGTGTAAATATTAAAAGCAAATTAAAGGCATAGTTAAAATTTTAATATTTCTAATTTAAAAAAATGAAAAATTGATGCCATTAACATTTACAGCACCCAAGTGATAAAATACCCTTCCACAGCAAACTGACCATTGTCAAAGAAAATGAATAAAAATAAAAATTGTCTCCCTGCTGATGGAAAATTATGAGGAAGGGGCTGGCCTGGACACACTTCCTGTTATATATGAATTACTCTGAAGCAGTTCTCTCCATCTTGAATTTGTCTAGATCAGGGTGGCAACTCTGGAAAGTCAGGGGAGCACATTAATCTGCCAGATCACCTTGGAGACTACATTCCTTGTTGCAACAAAATCAATTATGTGCTCCTCCAAATGTTATCCAATTGTTTCAACTACAATCCTGAAAGATTTGGAGGGCTACCAAGTTCTTGTTGTCTTGCATGTTCATCCAAAAAACAGCCCAACTCGAAAAAGCAGAAGATAAGCAAAGGAGGAGTCTGTATAGTATGCTGTCCAGGGTGCTGAAGGACTCTGCAGTCATCTTCCATTGTAACACATTCCTTTGGATAATATAGTACAGAACAACATTCCTTAGTGCAAGTTCTTCCAAATGCTTTCGACTGCAATCCCCATGGGTGGTGGTTGGACATTATAATCCAAAACATCTGGTAGTCACCAGGTTGGAGAAGGCTGATGCAATGTAATCGGTATCAGTATTGACTTGCAAAATTAAACTCTAAAATAAAACCTTTTTAACTCATGAATATAACCTGATCTGGTTGAATCTTGAGGCCCTTCAGGACAGAGCTTATTAAACTTTTTCTACTCACAACCCCTTTCCACCCGATAAATATTTATATGACATAAATAGGTAGATATATATATATATATATATATATATATATATAGTAAAGGTTTTCCCCTGACATTAAGTCCAGTCGTGTCCAACTCTGGGGGTTGGTGCTTGCGAAGCCGTGACTCCCACCGCTTGTTACTAAAAATTTAAAACCGTTCACTTGCTGCCACCAAAATATGTGAGGAAGTCTCCAAAATGAAATAATGGTGTAAAATCCCAAATAAATAGGATCACCACACAGATGTAATAAAGATTTGAGACTTCTAGCTTAAATTGCCACCATAATATAAAGATATTGGTAAAAATGATCTCTGGTTATCCTTATCTGTGTTGTGAGGCACCTTGGGTAGTGTGGAATGCTCCAAACGTGGAAATCAGTGAAGGAGGCAAGTTTAAAACACAAAAAGAACAGGTTTATTGTTATCAGAGCGTAAATTGTTGCAAAATTAAACTGTTGAACTTGGCACAAGCTTGATGGATACAAAATGGCTTGGTTGAGTTACATTAAGTCTTCCGATGTTACAATCCTTTAACTCTTTCTACAGTGAGGTACTTTATTATTTCAGTGTTCCCTATTGTGAATATTTACAACTGTTTGTCCTTCACCGGATCAAACCAACGATCTCCAGATTTCACCACTGGGATCCCTGAAACCCTTTCTTGTTAGATTCTTTTCTACTCAAGCAATCTAACGAGTTTCCACCTTCAGCTTCCTAGCTGGAATAATATTCACAAAACCTAAGAACTAACTGAATTTACACTACTCCACAGAGCCTCCTTGACTCTGCTACTCTCCTCAGGGTCTCATCCGCCTGACTGAAAATAAACTG